AAATCAAAATGCCTTACTTCATATCTGTTGTCATTTGAATATCCCTGCCTAAAGACAGGATAACAGAGGGGCTCTAGGCGTTATTTACAGGGACCAAAGACCAAGGTGTTTACGAAGTACCTTTGTAAAAAAATTACAGGTTGGGTTGGCAGAGGGCCAGTGTTGTCTGACCTTGTCATTGATGCCTGGAGTTCCTCTACTATCCTCTCTGTAATCTTATCTTTAGAGTCATATTCTGCTGTACTTAGCTTACTTTTAACTGTTTGCTCCATCAAAAGGCTTCCGAGTAATTAATTATAAATATTCTTAAAAGAGGTTTCAAACCTGCCTTTAAAACTGCTAATGTTGTATCAAAATTTGACAAGATTCCATACACAATCCAGCGCCATGCTTGAATTTGCCGCCTGGGGAACACACCCAGGCTTGTCCCCCCTAGATCTGGGACTGACAGTCCATGTGCATTTTCTTCAAGCTAAAATTTATTTATGAACCGATTCTCTCTTTGTGCTTCACTGGATGAAGAACTCACCATGGCAATGGAAAACATTCATACAAAATCGAGTGTCGGAAATTCAAGATAAAACATCCCAGAGTATGTGGCATCATTGTACTGGATCAGACAATCTGGCCGACAAAATCACATGTGGTGGTAGAGTGAACTTGTAGTAGAACAAGTGTGGTGGCATGGACCTCCATAGCTTCATCAAGATGAAATAAATTGGCTTAAAGCAAACGAGCATTGTAACAAAGTAGACAGTGTTGAAGACAGAGTTGTGACTCAAGTTACCAGTAGTGTTCAACCTTTGCAATCTGTGTTAAAAATAGGGAACTTGGGTGACTTAGGCAAACTTTTAAGAGTCATGTCATATATATTTAGATTCACTAATAATTTCAAGTGACAGAATAAAGTGATTGGTTCTATGACCAAAAATGAAATATGTAATGCTATGTGTTATTGGATTAACTTATCACAAGGTGAGTCTTTTTTTTTTTTTTTTTTTTTGCAGAATTTAATGATGTTAAATGTAAAAAACCATTGTCTCATAATCCCAAATTGTTTGGATTAAATCCAGTAATGGATGAAAAAGGTTGTTTAAGAGTCGGAAGTAGATTAGTAAAATCATCATTAGATATCGATGAAATTCAACCTATAATATTACCAAATAATTATTTTTCTTGTTTAATTATTTTAAACTGTAATGAAAAGGTATTTCATAGTGGTGTAATTGAAACTTTAATGAAAGTAAAAGGGAAATTTTGGATTTTGAAAGCTAGACATTTTGTAAAATCTGTGTTACATTATTGTAGATTTTGTAAAAAATATAATGTTAAAACTGGACATGAGATATCGGCTCCTCTTCCTGCTGTCCTAGCAGAGAAAGCTCGACCATTTGAGGTAAATGACATAGATTTCACTGGCCCTTTGTATTTAAAAGATGGTACAAAAGTGTATATTTCATTGTTTACTTGTGCAGTGACTTGAGGAGTCTATTTAGAATTGTTATCAAATTTAAGTACAGAGTGTTTTATTCAAACATTGTGTAGATTTTTTTCATGTAGAGGTATTTGTAGAGTTATTTATTCTGATAATGCTAAGACCTTTAAAACTGCTGATCATGAATTAAAATATTTATATAAATTGTGTAAAGATGAAAAAGTTCTAAATTTCCTTGAGAAAAATGGGTTTGAATGGAAATTTATTGTGGAAGGTGCTACTTGGTGGGAGCAGATTCTGGAAAAGTTTGGTAAGATCTGTAAAAACTTGTTTAAAATGGATCTTAGGTAAAGCTTCTTTATCTTATAAAAAATTGTATACTATTTTAGTTGAAGTTGAAGCTGTTATCAATTCTAGACCTAAAACCTATGTATACAATGAACCTAATGAACCTGATCCTCTTTCGCCATCTCATTTTATAACTGGATCTAGATTAACTAGATTAACTATTTTACCTACACCTGAATCTAATTTAAAATCTACAAGATCTCAGTTGATTAAAAAAATGGAAGCATAGGCAATTCTTATTAGAGCATTTTTTGGAAAAGGTTTTATAAAGAATATTTGTTAGAATTATGATAAGTCATGTTTTCAGACTCCAAAAAATTCTCCCGCGTTTAAAAGTAATAATGTTGTACTTGAATGAGAAAATAATTTGAAATGCTGTAACTGGAAGTTAGGTAGGATTAAGGAATTAGGTTAGAGTAGAGAGAAGGGTACCCCTTGTATTATCAGCGAAGTTGTTGTTTCATTTATCATGAAGTTGTTGTTTCATTTATGGTAGCCTGAGTAGTTGAATGGAATGGAAACCCTATTATGACGTAATCGGTTGCATGGTTGTGGTAAATTCGCAAGGGCTTGTGTCTGTGTTGGTTAGGATGTATATTCCTTGTTTTGTGATTTAGACGGTAAAACAGCTGAATGTGGTAAGATTAATTTAGTAGATAGAATGTGGTGGTAAGTTTCTCTATGATTTGGAAAGAAAGGGAAAAAGAGCATTACTTCACTGGTGTGTAAATGAAGGTTTGCTTAGTAGCTATTATTAGGTGTCTTGTTTGTAGGAAGGAAATGCGTATGGTCGAACGTCAAAAATGCGTATGGTTGAATGTTGCTACAGAGGGTATTTTTGACTCTTATTTTGTGATTTATGTGGCGATGCCAGCATACAGATTCTAGTTCAGATAATTTTAGGAAGTTTTTGGAGGTTGTTAAGGATTTTTGTTTGACTGAAAACATGTTAATTTGTAAATAAGGTAAGTGGATATTTCCTTAAAACCAGAGGTAAGTGGATTTATATCTTACATATATATTAAAAAATAATCAAATGTAAGTAAGGACTATTAAGAATCCTGCACTTAGGCTGCAATGATTTAATTAAACTGAATTATAATTAAAGGAGAGAATACTCTTATTAAAATTCTTATATTTCAAATTAAATTAAGAAGCTAATAAAGTAAAAGAGTTACAGTTTGAAGTCTACATAAATTCAGGTTTACAGATTCGTAAATTTTTAAGTAATATTAAATATTTTAAAATTTTAAAATGCTTAAGAAATATTTTTACAAGTATTAAATAATAAAAGTTAAATTGGCATGGAAAAATTATTTAACCAACAATGGCCAATAATAGTGGATATGAATAAAATTTTGACAAAAATTGTTAATGATAATAAAAGCCATATAAAGAAAATTACTTAAAAATGAACAACTGAAAGGAAATCAAAATAATACCAACTCTTCAGTGGAAATTAGCTTATTTCATTCTCATTCCAATCACTCAGACATCATGTTTCATCCTTGCTGTGCATATGATTCAATACTTATGTTTTGTTCTAAAAGTATTTTGGCATTTAAATAAAATTTTCCATTTCGAGTAATTTAAATTAATTTACATCATGTAGGAGAACTCTTGATATGCATATAAGTATGCAAAATTTGGGGAATTAAATTTTACATTTAATAATCTCATTTCTACTTTTGATTTGCATATTTTAACAAATATAAATAATACACTAAAAGATTTTAATGTTTGCTTCCAAAGCATTGAAAATTTGAATGTACCAGCATGGCTTATAGAACTGCTGAACTGTTATGTATCTGGTCTTAATATTATGATACAAGAAAAATTGGCTGCACTGAAAAAGGTTGCTCAAGCACAAGTCTTATTCAAAAGTACACTAAATTTCGGAATTTAAAAGTCATTTGAAAGAAATATCACAAAATAAAATGTGTTGTTGAAACCAATGTTATTGTTATCCCTTTCCTTACCTAGTAGAAGCAGGCTTAAATCAAGACAGTAATTTTTTGATGAGTGACTTGTGGTGATAATTTTGTGTGGAAAACAGGAAATTTTGATGAATGAAGGAATTTAAGAATTAAGTGAAGTGATGTTATATCAAATATTAAAAAAACTGCATCGATACTTCAAGCACTTCCATCCCATTAATTAAAACAAAATTTTTGTGTTACTAGAATCAGCGATTTTGTTTCTGAAAAGTTGATTATATTTGTAAAATGAATAATAATAATGATATGAAAAATAATAAAAGATAAATGTTATAAACCATTTCTTCAAATTTTTTATTGATATTCTTGTTTGTTACTTTTGATAAAATGTTAGGTGACTAGCCTAGCCTTTCCATTGATGGCATGCCATTGATCTTAATCTAATTCTAACAGCAAATATTTAATAGCATATTTTATGCATCGTGGTTTAAGTAGCATTTTTCAGCATTCATTCGCTAAACAATATCTGTAAACTTTGCATAAATTTATTATTGACTTGATGGTAGATTGATGTAATAATAGGTAATATGAGTGAAAATATAATTTTTGCTTTTAATTTAAAACTATCTAAACTGCCAGTTTTAACTTCTTTACCAAAAAAATTTTAGGCTCTAAAATGTTTGTATCTGTAAATAAGTTATAGTATTTGATACTGTCACCCTGTAAATATGGTGGTAGAAGAGCTGGCTGCTATATCCTTAAGCCCACTTTCTAATCCTGGATAAGGCAAGGATGTTCATAAGTGTTGTTATGGCATAAAGGCTCTTAAAATACTGTCGAGCCGAAAGTTCGTTCAAGAGGTTAGTGGCAAGGAAAAAGGGCTGTGAAATATTGGACCCATTCCTCATTCCATCAAAATAGAACTGGAGCTGGGCAAACTTATGCTGTCATCAATAAGATGCCCAAGGCCTAAGCCAATGACATATGCGACCCTTGCATCTTGGCCACTATACAATTGATAAACCTGATTTGGCCATACATTCAGATCAGAAGAGTTAGAAACAGTAAGTATGTGATACTACTGTCCTGACTTACGGACGATTTACATGTTATCTTGGACATATTTTTTCTACAGTGCAATACTTTTCATCATCATAAGTATTTTATGTGAAGTGCTATTTATTTCAGATTTTAAAAATAATTTTGGGAATTTTATTCTGCACTTATAAAAGGAATATATATTTTAACTATTCCTTTTTTTTTTTTTTTTTAATTTGCAGAAGTAAAACAAGAATTAGAAAGCCTGATGGCTGAAATCAAAACATTATCTAACTCAGTAAGAAAAAAGCTCAAAAGTAAGTTGCAATATTTTTTTTATCTAAATTTGTATTGGTAATTCATTTTATATTTTTCAACAGTATTCAGAATGTAGAGCTTGGAATCTGGTACAAGATATGAAATTCTGTAATAGAGGGACAATAGGCAATAATGGTGCAGCATTTTTATGTAACCAAATTATAGAATGAATCTAAATGCTGCATCAAAATTTATACATGTGTGGTTCAGCAGTATTTCTGCCTAGATCAACATTCACCCTAATTTAAGAGGGAGTTTATTATAATACCGAAACAAATTAATTTAATCTAGAATCTATTTAACATCCATATCAGCAACATTCAAGCTGCATCAAACAAATCAAAAACAAGTTCCAAAGTTCACGCTGTTGCCACTTGGCAATCTCAAAACAGTGCATTTCTACTAATTTTCATATTGCCATTCAGAATCAGAGAAAAAGATCTATTCAGTCGTTCATATGTGACAGTTGTCCAACATCATTTGAAAATGGAAGTGGACTGGTATTGGAGACCACTTGATGAAAGATTCAATGTGATGTTCTGACGTCCACGACTCATACTAGTCCATCCGAACCAGGAAAGATCTCCTCAACGTATGTTAGTACCCATTTCATGGGAGTCTTGTTTTTATCATTCAGCAGTACTTGTCCTACTTTGAGGTTGGATATTGGTAGATTTCGTTTTGAACGGGTGTGTAGATGGTTGAGGTTTATTGCACTTTGATTGTTCCAGAAATTAGCTTTAAGTTTCTAAATTAAAGTCCATTTAGAAGGACAAAGTATTTACTGTTTCATTTGATAATGGTATCGACAAAAGTGGAGGTCATATTAAGAAATGACCTGAAGTCAAAGTCTATCCATTGGATCAGAAGAAATAGGTGATAGAGGTCAAGAGCTCAAGCAAGCTCCTGTTTGTGTAATTAATGTATAAAGCACTTCAAAATTTAAGTAGTTATTTTCATGACCTTTATCAAAATTCTCTTCATTGATTTTATGCTAGCCTTCCGTAATCTGCCAAAATATGGCGAAGAATGAAGAATAAAATTCCACATTATGCTTCCTTTGGAACTAAAGCATTGAACAGAATCTGATCTTCAAATTCTAAAAAGGTTATCAAGAACATTTTTCAGTCCTTTAAAGTTTGTAGTGTTATCACTCTAAACAATGGATTGTTTGGACTATATGGCAAGAAATCTTCTAAGACATATTAAAAATCTCATGCTATTTCTAAATGAAATAGCCTTTGTATTAAACCATATAAATATTGTGATATATTATTTTAAGGTAACTCTAGATCTTTTCAAATTAGGTTTGGTAACTGGTGCTGCAAAGTCTAGTCTTATTTTTTGAATGGTCTAGTTGTTACTACTCTACCTCTAGGTAAATCACCAATCATTTGGTTTATAGTTCTTTTTTCTTGTCTGAAAGCAAGTCAGCATCGTACAATTCAGAAGTACTCAAACAATTTTTTTTATTTTTTTAAATTCTTTTACTGATTCCGCAAGTTTAGGCCACAAATCAATACTCAGAATTGCCACTTAGGTCCATGCAATTGCATATCACTATTTCATAGTTCCGTTCATAGCTTGTTATTCCTTTCATGGATTTGTCTTCATTTCTCTGATCAGCATATTAGTCAAGTTTTCATCTCCAGGACAGTAATTCCAGGAATCAGGTGATGTTTCCTCTCATATTTCCGTTACTCAATGTTGGTTGAATGGCTTCCTTTTATTCAAATCATCTTTTATCCAATGTAACATCACAGAAGAATTTGTGCAAAAGTGTACATTCATCTGGAGCCTCTTCTGTATTTATTCTTTGACATTTGAGGCTAATTTCACTGTGAAGAGTGCTCACATCAACTTGGACGAGACAACTTCTTCAGTGGAGCTACTCTGGTTTTGGAAATTACAAAACTACTTCCTGTTGTACTGTGCTTTGTGATGTATTTCAGATATATCACAGCTTCATATACCTTCTGACTTATCTCAGTTAAGCAGTGCATTTAAACATCTCTCAATTTAGACCTACTAATCTTTCAGAAGTAATGTTGCAGAATATTTATATTCTGAATCATTGGTAGTTCATTGGACCATTTTCTCATTCTGTTTTCAAAGTCCAATAGCAATTTATCATCCCAATAAAAATTTTCTTTGTTGGTATTTTTGCCCTCGTAGTGAATGGACTGTCCAATAGGAATGTTAAGTATTTCAGTGGTTTTAAGAACTTAGCTTGATCAGTTAGACTTTGTGATTTTATCTTAAAAAGATCTTCCTTTTAACTCTATCTATATCCCAATACCTTCTATACCAGAACTTTCTGGATTTCACTATTTTCATGATCATAAAAAACTTCTTGCAAATTTGAACAATTTGTCTTTTACTTCTGCATGTGTAAACTGGCAGCTTCAGTGGCATAGCTAGGGCGGGGCAAGGAGGGACATCTGTCCCCAGGCACAGCATCCAGAGGGCACCAAATTCATGTTACAAAATTTATAATGAAATGTTTTCCCTTCTTCGCACACGGAAAAGGGCGTAAAATCTCCATTTGTCCCCGGGTGCTGAAAACCCTAGCTACGGCTCTGGGCAGCTTTTAGTATATTTCTAATGTCTTCATTTACGAGTTTATCTTCAATTTTGTCGTCATCACCACTTATTAAGTCATCTACGTACGAACATTTATTCAATAGTTTAATCATCTGCATATAAACATTGTTCGATAGTCTTCTCATTTGTTTCTTTAAAGGTATTTAAATGGTGTTTGATAGTAGTGGTAAGCAAAACTTGGCTGGATGTAGTGCCAAACAAAATACGAGTCATCCTAAGCAGTTTTGTGTTTTGTTTTTTATAGCTTTATCTGTAAGGTTATTCGCCCACAAAAATCTATCTTCAGGTGACAGAGAACTTTGAATAAAGGCTTATTCAAGTTTGGCAGTAAATGCTATATTATGTGTACAAAATTGTATTAATATCTCTAACAATGGTGAATTTAAATTAAGACCAGAATAAATAACCTCGTTACAGAATGGACATATCATTACAGTGCATATTTGTAGCAACGGACTGTGTAAAGTTTCAGTTTTCAATTAATCAATCTGAACATCTTTACAGAGCAAACTTGCTGACACAATTTTATTTTTATCTGGTTTTGTTTCAAGTTGGAAACAAATAGATTTATTGGGGGATTTTTATTAAATATTTTATATATTCTTCTTTCTTTACATTATTTTATTCTATGCTGAGGTTTAGCATAAAATATAAGCTTAATTTTTAAAAATATTTTTCTCATCCACAGTTTTAATTTCACAGTTGTGTAGTTCATTACAATATATACAATTATTTCTAGCAATTGGAGTTCTTCAACCAAAGCAATAGATTTGTATAAATCATCATTTAACTCTGTTTGGCATTGTATTAACTTAATAAACTTTTGGAGGTATATATATATATTACAAAAGTTTCACAAAATATATCTTCAGTGTATAGTTTTAAAATATACGTAGGTACTCGGATTATCTTACCACAAAGTCACCAGTCTTTGGTGACTTGATTTTTCATCGACCTCAAACGTGAAAAACAATAGCCATTTTTAAAAATGGCAGCACATTGAAAATTGCATGAAAAAGCAAAAGGTTAACAAAATTTTAAAATGTAAGAAACATCTGTAATGAAACACTGAAAATTCTGTAAAACAGCAGCAATTTAACTAAATTAAAAAGACAAGAAATATGTGTAATAAAACACTTACCTTTCACCTCCCCACTTTTTTCCTCACATACACATTGACCTGTTTTATCGTAAAAAAATATCAGAGAATTGAACAAATTTAGAAAATTTATCACAATAAACTAAGCACAGTTGTTAAACTACTTTTTTTTGCTCTTCTCCCGTGTGTGCATTGACCTATTTTAACTTCAAAAAAATTAGAGAATTGCAGAAGTTCAGAAGAAGCTATTATCACAATCACCTAAGAACAGTTAATATGCAGCACCCACTGAGATGATTACCGAGTTTCAAAAACTGAACTCTACTCTGGTGTAATATGTGCACAAGCGTTCATAGTTTGCCACAGTTAATAAGAGATTACCTGCACATATATTTACTTACTTTTCTTATTTCATTGAATTCAAAGTTGTCATTTTTTAGGTATATGTAAATTTGTTAACCATTACAAAAGTCCTTTGATATTTCATTCTGTAAGTTGAAATTTTTTGGTACATTTAAAAAATTATTTTTTATCATTTTGCTTTGATATTTAGGATTTTTGTCATAGTTAAATTATTCACAGAAATCTGTAAATTTTAAGGTAAACTGAAATGCGCATTTTGCTCATCTTTGTTACGTATTTTATGCATAATAAATAAAGAGACAAATAACTTACGAATTAAAATGGTAGACATATTTCATCAGCAAGCAGACATTATTTATCTAAAGTTTCTATTTAGATAAGTAATTTTGGTGTGTTCTTTGATTTGTTTTCCTTCAGCTCAAATGCAAGAACTTTTCTATGTGAGCTGTTTGAAATGCAATATCACATGATATTTTATAGTTTTTATAAATTTAAATGTCTTTTCTGTTGGTTGTGAGAAAGAAATGGTATCATAGGTTATGGAGGTATTAGCTAATTAGTATGCTGTTTTAAGCATAATATTTTGAATGTTTTTGATTTTGGTTCTAGGTTGAAACTTTTGACAACTTGAAGACTATATTTAGTTCCTTCCAGATCAGCCTATGATTAGCAACAGTGATGTGCTCTGTGAGGACTTTTTCTATAGCCCATAGTTTAAGTGAAGAGAATAAACTGTTGTTGGCCAGACAACCAAATTTGTGTATATTTTTCTACTCCAAACCATCTTAAGACTATCATTAAGTTTTAGAATTTGCATATGTACTGGAAGTACCAAATGATTCATATGAGGCATTTCTTTTGTCTGAAAAGAATACCAAGTTTGCATCCTTTAGTTACCCTTGAAAATTTAAAAAAAAAAAAAAAAAAAAATCCTTTGAATTTTTTCAGTTAGAATTTGTTTTTTAAGCTTTGTTCCAAATAAAGAGTTACCCCAATTAATCGATCGGACTCTTCAACAGAATCATTCATATTGTATTTCATTAAGTAAGTATATGTTGTATGTTTTATATGTAGTTGCAATGACTGCAGTAAATCATATGTGAAAGAAATATTCCTTTAAAAAAAAATATTAAGGATACTTCTGGTATTCCTTATGAATCCATCTCTTTCCCTTCCCTCCTCAAAGTTGCTTTTCTAGGCATGCAGTATCTTATAGTAACAGTGATGGTATTTTGGTTTTAATAAACTTAAAAATTAATGCTTCAACTGATTCACAATTTTATCTTCTTTGGTCTTTTTACGTATCCATCAGTTCAAAAGAAATTTAAAAATAAGTTGTAAGAGAACAATTTTCTTTCCTCGAAAATTATTTTTTTATCTGCTCTCTATCTTAAAACCTATTGTTCCACAGAAAAAAATGAAACCAAAGGAAAAATTTATGAATATAATTCTAAATAGTGCTGTAGAGGAATTATATGATGCTATTTAAAATCATTATGTTTAATGTTAATATTATATATGTGTGTGTGTGTTTAATGTTAATATGCTTAATGCTGTGCTTCACTCATTTTGAATAATACAATGTTAAGAAATATTTTTTAAAAATAATTATGTACTAAGAGATTAATTCAAGATTAAAGAAATACTGTTTTCATGCTAGAAGTGTATGTAAAATTAATCTGTACTTTACTGAACATTTATCTTATTTGCATTTATGATAAATTCTGTTTTCCTCCATATTATGGAGGTGAGACAACATTCTCAGATGTATATAAAATTCCACTTAGTATTCTTATTTTTCCTGTATTAAAAAATTATTGCCATTTTTTAGTTACATCATTAAGATAGTATGTTAATTAATTTAATATAAAATTTGCATATTAATATATGCAATATTTATATATGTTTTAAAAATAGTAAATGAACTTTATTAAATATAATATGTTATTATTAAATTATTTTTATTTCTTAATTTTTTTTCAATGAATCAGTAATGGGACAAAATATTGAACAAGAACAGATAAATAATGCCTCTGCTGCTGAACTGCGAATTAAACAAACTCAGGTTTGTGTCTTTTGCTTCTTCTTCTTCTTCTTCTTCTTTTTTTTTAATTAAAACAACACACAACTATTTTTATGCTTTTTACAATATCTCAAAGACAAGGTTTTATATACTGGTAAAATGTTTCTTTTATCATGTTTGTTTATTGTCTCTTGAACTGAAAAAGTTTGTTTTCTAGTCATTTTTAGATTTTGTAATGATCTTAAATGAAGTCCCAGTTACTCACATGTGGGTATTTTGGAAAAAATTCAGTTTTTTCACAGAAAATTTTCATGAATTTTATCTCTAAGGCTTGAAATGAAGTTAAAAATTTAGCTGTAAGTCCTGTTTGAAAAATAATATCCCGGATTCAAAAGCTTTGAATAAGAGGTAACAATACTGGGACTCATTAAAATCATTTCAATTAATCAAGGTTTCCAAAATGTAAGTGAGAGAAACAGAGTAGAGTGGCAGGATGATGATAAGAATGGTTAAGGCCCCACAGTTATCAAATTGTGATATTGTATGTATTGGCTAAGGAAAAAGTCTGTAAAAGAGCAGAAAGAAGAAATTGTAGATAAAATGGAGGAATAAGAATGAACTATAGTGGAGCACAGTGTGTAGGAGTGTGTGGCAACCTGTAATGTCGCCAAAAAGTATTTATGCATGCACAGTATTCTTTCAGTCAACTTTCCACTTCTATGGACATTTTTACCAGTATACTGCAGATCATGATCTCTCTATGAGAAATTTCAGTGTTTTAGTATAGCAGTGGATTGGATACTGGAGTTTTTGTCGTTGTTAACGAAATCTTAGATTTCAGCATAACATAGAATGTAATCTGGCTTCTTTTTTCCTTTTTATTTTAGGATTTTGATTCCAAGGTTTTTTTAGTTCTCTTTTTATTTATTTATTTTTTAAAGCAAAAACAGTTTACTGTGTGCATGGGAAGAAAAGCAGCACAAAAAAGTTAAGAAGTGTATGGCTGTCTTGTACAAAAAAGGAGAATGTAAAAAATAGGCAACGTTGAACTAGGCATTAAGATATCCAAACAAATCCTTCTCTCCAAAGTTGGCAACAAGTTTGTAACTTTTTGGTAAGAGTGGGAGATAAACAGAAAGTACCAGGATCCTTCTTACCATATTTATTAGAATTTTTTTTGGGGGGGGGTTTATCAGTTAAACAAAAACTGTATTGATTTTTCATAATCCAGAGATTGATCCAGAGATGCAAGAGTCCAATTTGAGATTCATAAATTCAAATGATAGTACAGGTCCTTGTTTCAGAATTAATACTGTTTTTCCTCAGTTAACAATGATAATAGATCATTGATTTGTGATTCATATTGCATAAAATTGTGACTAGTCAACCGTCAATTGAAAAATTCAGGTCTTCACAATTTTAATATTAAGTATAGTTGAAAAATTGTAAAAAAGCTGCTTAAAAATAGTCTGATGTGCAAATAGATTTTCAAGTTTTATTACAGTTTGCTAGTTTGTATATCTTTATGACAAAAAAATCAATATTATAAATTGAAAAAGAAGAGCACAAACTCTGACATCTGCTGGAGTGATAAGTTGAGACTTGAGAATTTAATCAAAGGTGGAGAAAGTTCTAATAATTTAAAAAAAAAAAAAAAAAAGGGAAAAAAAACTGCATTACTGCCATTGAAAGGTTAGTATTTTTTTATTTATTTATTATGTTTTGCACACTAAAAGAATTTTATGCTTTCAAATTTGTGATACCTTATGATAATTTAAATACATTGTATAATTTAAAATTTTTATTTAAAAAAATGTGCTTTACTATTAAATATAAAAATTAATTAGTTATGTATACATATACATTTTTGAAACTTAGTGGGATCTGCACAAGAAAACTGAATTGAAAAGCACTATTGTGAAATCATTTTTGCATCATAGTAAAGTTCTTTGAAAGTTTTATATGGTATTTTCTCCCTCCTTTCTCCATACCTTCGTGGCGTTAACAGTTAGTACACTTTTCACATATTCAAGAGGTCCAATTTTGAGTCCTGGCAAAGGCGTTATTCATTTTTTATCTCTCCTGCTTCAAAGATAACTTAATGACTCTACAGTGGTGCCCAAACTAAAAAAAGTGGTGGATGATGATTCTTCACCACCCGGATTTGGTAATTGGGTCCCCTGTGATCCCCAGTCACCCTTTAAAAGGTGGAGTATATAAGATATTTTCTGCCTCTTTTCTACATGCTTTCGTGGTGTAATGGTTAGCACACTCCTGCGAGGGCACTGCTAATTTTTCATCTCTCCTGCTTCAAAAATAACCTAATGACTCTACAGCAGTGGTGCCCAACCTTGTGCTCGCCGATCGTTTTGTATGTACTCGCCAGCCCGATTAGGTACTATGACCAAAAATTATTTTTAAAATAACCATTCATTTATATTTCCTAATTGTTAAAATATGGTAAGCATTTATAGTCATAAAAGATATCTTGCAAGACGTTATAAAATAATTGATTATTGACTGATGAACTTGATAGCGAAACATGGGAATCTTACTGCTTCATTCTGAATGTTAGATGGCTCAGCCGGAAAAGAGTACTTCAGTGATTTGTAGAAACTTCTTTCGCTGAATAAAGTTGTTTTGGGAATCCAGAAACGAAAGTTATAAAGAATTGGAACGATAATAATTGGTTATTTGATCTGTATTTTCTCACGACTATAACAGCTAAACTGAACAAACTGATCGAAGATCTCCAGGGAAAAGAAAAAAAAAAAAAAAAAAAAAAAAAAAAAACCCTTTTCAATTGTGACTGTAACTGCTTTTCAGATAAAGTTAAATTTGTGGATGAATCAGATGAAATTAAAAAAAAATTCGCCCATTTTCAGAATTTATCATGCCATATTAATAACCACCACAAGGCAATTGAAAAGAAAAATACTTAGAAAACCTAAATGCACTGAAAAATAATTTTGAACTCCACCTCTCTGATTTCCATAAAGTTCAAACAATATTATTATTCATCTCAAACCCATTTGCCGAAATTAATATTTCAGATATATCACATAAGATTGGAAATATGTTTAACAAAAATTTTGATGTTTTGGAAATGTGCTCACGATAGGCCAGAGGTTGGGCACCTCTGCTCTATGGTGTATATAATCATATTGGAATCAGAAGATGTTTTCTATATTATCACAGAAGATTGTATTTTATATATAAATAAAATTTGGTTTGAATCCAATGTTTAAGGAACAAAATGCCACCCCGTGCTGTGACATTAATTTTCATTTCATAGTTATAGATCAAAGTTCTTGGAAAAAAGTTTGGAAAAATGATTTTTTTTAAATATGCATGCATAAGTGTGTGTACCTATCTATCTATGTATATCAATGTACCTATCCATGTATATTTATATAATACAGGGTGTGCCCGAATGCCATGTACAAACTTGGAGGGGAGGTAGAGAACATCACGAGGATCATTAATGACATCGGAAGGCATGGGCAGAAATGTAGCCCTAACGAGATAAAGAGACACGAAGACAATAAGGCCACAACACAGAATGTAGTGTAAAATGCTTTATTAAACACACACACACACACAAACAAATAAATTAATTAAATAAAAAATAAATAAATAAATAGTATGCCATAAAAGCATCACAGGAGGTGTTCGACATTCCGACCATTGGCATATATGCACGCACAACACCAATGTAACATGAATTAGTGGACATGTTAAAAAATATTGGGCATTTCATGTATCGTAGCAGCAGCGATATATATTCATGCCACCAGTTCCATTTCAGAATTGACGGGCGCGTCATACACAAGGCTCTTCATGGCACCCCAGAGAAATACATCTACAGTTGTTTAAGGTCCACATGTGCATGTTGTGCATATTGAACACCCATTCATGTGAAAAGGTTTCTTCATTACAGAACACCACGGAACTGCCAAAATTCATGTCTGTGGCACTTTTGTTAACAAACTACTGTGCAAACATGACATGTTGTGGATGATCATATGGCAGTAATAACTGCACTGTCTGTACATGAAACGGATGTAAGGTTTCGCCCTGCAGTACATGATGGACAGTTGTTCAAGATCTTCGAGTTGCAACAGCAAGTGCCTGTACACTGGTACCAGGATTTTGGTGCACATGGCAACAAACTCTCTTCGAATATGGGTATTTGTGCTCTTTTGGCTGCCCAGTACTTTCAATTCTGGCTCTCAAGGATCCAATGTCCGCCAGTTTCTGATGCACCCGAGTGAACATTTGATGATTTGGTTGCCACCTCATTGGATATTTTCCCCCATACAGCAGCACGTCCATTTCCGTTGGCTAGGCCGTAGATGAAGTGGATATCTGCCAACTCGACATTCGTATAACGATTCATGTTCATCACATGCTGTGCATGTCTGAAATGAGGAAACCACATGTGCCAACCTTGCTAGCTTGTGTACAGTGCCACCTATTGCTTTCCGCCCATGCTTTTCTACTGTAATTATAGCTCCTAATGAGGTTCTTTACCTTCCTTCCCAGGTTTGTACATGGGGATACACTGTATATGTATATATAGAGAGATATCTTTTATTGTACCACCCTTAATGTTGCACCAAAATATTGTTACGTTATTTTCTTCCTTCACTTTCATACGGGGATTGTGGATTTGAAGTGAATATCGACGACACTTGATGAAGTATTGAAACACACTTTATTTAGCTAATATTAATCAGGACAGCTGCAAAGTTATGTTTTACAGTCGTCGAAGATCTACTATAAACTCGCTGGAACAATCAGCGACATAGCCTTCAGGTTATCAGATTATAATGGTGGAGACAGCTTCACTGCAAAGCACCAGAGTACAGCTCCCGACTCTGCTCGTTTGTTCGCGGAACCCCACGTACTCTCGAGACTCTCCACGCTGCAACTCGCGATGCACTTTATGATACACAGAGCACAGCTTCCCGACTCTTCGGTTCAGTTATTCCCGGAGCTTAACACACTCTCTCGACGATGCACTAAGAGACTCTTTGATGCACTTGCTGGCTGGCTGTCAGCTCGATCGACTCCGCATGGATTGACTAACTCTAGACACTATCTATCTTGCACTCGCACTCCACGTACCAGCAGGGTATATATAGTTTTTGGTTTGTATTTGAGATCATTCTGGGCTAAACTGGTAAGAATTTGTTCCAGAAGGTTCTCCATCCATCTATGGCATATTGCCAATTTTGTCTCCAAATGGACAATTTATCACCAAATGTGGCAACCCTGCTGTCCTTTTCCATTTTATGGCAACCCTAAAACTACTTTGCGGAGAAGCTATCTTACCGCGCCTGGACATTTCATAAGAATATGTAAATTTCTTATTTCATTTTTGCTTTTGGCATGTTTTGCCTCTTTTTTTCGTGCATTTTGCTACTCTACTTCTGGTTTTTGCATATAGTTTGTACACATGCTTATAGAGCACCTAAAAAATATCTGTTCGAAATGTAAAGACAGCTGGAGAGTACAGAAATAAACAGATTTCATAATGGAATGTGTGTACAGAAATGAGACATTGAGGTGAAGAAGGGTGCTGTTAAGTAATAGGTAAAATTTTTCTACTGGCAAAGATCATCATTCCTAGTGTAGATTTCAAACATTATGTGTCTTTATGTTTCAAGCATTATATGAATACAGAGCTGGCAGACATGCATTTGTCGATGGAGCTACACATAGAAAGGGAGCAGCTGCTCAAAGGAGGTCCTCAGGAATTGAATATACTCTCTATGCCTCTTTTAAGTACTTTGAGCATCTAAATGCATTCAAAAATAAATGATTTGTTTATAATAAGTCTAATTTTTGTACCACTTTTTAATGCCTTTATTTTATTTGACATTTTAGAATTGTGCATTTTTAAATTATCACTTTTGATGTTGTATTTTTTAGAATTGACAGATTGTTTATTCAATTACATAAATAATAGTATAGTTTGATAAAATAACTCTAGTAGTGCAAATGATTGTTATGTTTTTTTTGTGTGTGTGTTTCAGCATTCAACTTTATCTAGAAGATTTGTAGATGCCATGACTGAGTATAGCCATATTCAGACAGAATACCGAGAGCGCTGTAAAGATCGAATAAAACGTCAACTTGAAATAAGTTAGTTCTGATGCTAAATTTTATATATGAATTATCATATGGTGAAATCACAAGCTATGTAATAGATGCATGTATAGTGCTCTTCTGTTTCTTGGGAAAATTAGAAATTTGTTTGAAGATAGTTATTAAAATAGATGTTATAATAATAATTATTTAATTATTTTCAGACTTGTTACTGTGAAAAATGTACTTAAGGAGTAAAATAATTATTTAAAAAACTATCTTTAAAACTTTTTTTTAACATTATTAATCAACTAAAGCTTTGGTTGTTGCATTATTTTAAACATATTCTTAATATATTTACTGAAACCTGAAGCTTTATGATTTTTCTGCATATTGATTGATATAAAGTTCAGGAACATCCATTTGGAATATTATAATGTGGAAACAAATAACAATATAGTATAATATATAAAATATATATGAGTAATATATATAAACTTCAACTAATTAAGCAAAAAACTGTATTCTTTTGAAATATTTCTTCCATTATAATTTAAGTTTTCACCTTAAATAATAAAAAAGAAATTAATAAGTTTGGTTGTTGTCATTTCATTAACATAGAAATACTCTGAAATATTTTAAAATCTCATTTTACGAAGTGAAGACATTATTATTAACACTTTATGATATCTGAGTTTTGTATAATATTTATTTGATAACTGTGTACATTCTTTGGGTATAAGAAAAATTTATTTGAATGAACCCATACAATTTTTATGTCAAAAGAATTCAATTGATTGGTAGTATGCAAGTTTCATTAAAAATGCACTCTACTTTCCACTTTTAAGGCATTCATATAGCCATTCTATTTTGAGTTTTATTTGCAGGCAGAAAACTTGAAAAAAAGAGTGTGTTAGTGTAACAGAAAAGAAACATGCCAATGTAAAATGTAAAACTGGGCAAACTTAGATTGGTGTAGATTTTCATTAAAACTTCTTTCAATTTTGAGGATGGTCAAATAAGGAAAAAAATTTTGTTTTTGGAGGAAAGAGTCATCCTTGAAATGAATAGAATTTTATTGAAAATCTCCCCCCCTCCTAATTTTAGAGCATATTGTGATAGTTTGAAAAAATTCAGTGTAATTATTAAATGGAAAAATGTAGTAGATGTCGAAAAATGTAATATAAGTAAAAACTTAGCAAGTCTCTTTTAAATACATGAAAATTAAATATTTATTCCAGTTTGCTTAATAATATTCCAGTTTGCATAAATAATCTGATGTAATATTTTTTTTCTGTGCTTTTAAGCCAAAGTAAAAACTTACCAAATCTCCTTTAAATACATGAAAATTAAATATTTATTCCAGTTTGTTTTAATCTGATGTAATAATTTTTTTCTGTGCTTTTAAGCCAAACTGTGATTCAGAATTTGAAGATATTTTGCGAGAGGTTTTGCTTTTGAAATTCATGTTACATGCTAATACAAAATTAGTTCTGAAATTTAAAACAAAGAATATAGTTTTAAAAGCTATAAATTGTGTTTGTTGTTTAGAACTATGTTGTTTTTATGAATTCTTTTTAATCGAATACGTATCAATAAAATGAATTTAAAATATCTTATGTTATTTACTGAAACCTGAAGCTTTATGAGTTCTGTGCAAATTTGATGCAAAGTTCAGGAACATCCATTTGGCATGTAACCTGGAAACAAATAACATATAAAACTTCAACTAATTAAGCAAAAAACTGCATTCTTTTGAAATATTTCTTCCATAATAACTTAAGTTTTTACCTTAAATAATAACAAAAAAGAAATTACATTTTTTTCTCAAATAATTCCATAAAAATTGAATCAAGGTAAAAATGAAGTCAGATTAATCTACAGATGATAATCTCTTACCATGGGAAATCCATTTTTCATCTTTAAAAGGGATGAATAATTCAAGAGATATTGTCAAAGTTACTTTCATGTATTGCAGTTTTCACGAGTGATTTCATTTTAGGCTGTGAATGGCTAGTTGATCCTTCTGTCATACCACAACTGAAACAGACTTACATGTGTCCACTGTGCAAAGGGTTTGGAAATGAATTGAAAAAGTGAATCATGCCAGGTTTACTGGTAGATCTAGCTCTAGACAGTTGTCAGTACTCTTGGATCTATGCATCTGAAAGCATGTGGTGGTAATCAAGCAAAGAACAACTGTCAGCATTATGCAGAATGTGCAGGGAGTTTTAGATGCTACAGTATCATCATGAATGATTTCTAATTAATTGATCAGAAAGGTTTGCAATTATGCTGCCCTTTACAAAGATTGCCATAAGCACAAAGCGACTGAGGGGGAAAAACTGCAATGGTGTTGTGACAGTGATAGTCTTGTTTATGTTTCACAAATGGCAACCACTAAGTAAGTCTAGAGGCTGGAGGAAGACTGGTCTAATTATATTGCAACTGTTGAATGCCATAATGTTTGGTGAAACGACATCATGCTTTGGAGTACCATTGGCATGGATAGACAGCTGGCCACCTGTGTTTCATATCAGATTCTGCATAAAGGTTAATATAGTATGCGTGTGAAGTGCTGCAGCTGGTTGCGCTACTCCACCTTCAAAATGCTGTTTGCTAGAAAGATAATGCTCAGCTGCCGGTCATCAGCAAACAAGCCTCACAAGGTACCCAAATGCTTAATTGCCCAACGAGGTGTCCGGATCTCAAACTGATCAAGCATTTGTGAAATGTCCTAGTCTGTTGTTTGCTTGATCTACCCTAACTTTAAAAAAAGCATGTGGTCATCCATCTCTGAAGGCAGTATTGCTACTCTTCTCACTACATCCATCTGTGTTTTGAAGGGTTTCTATTCTTCGTCCAAGGGTTTTCAATAGTATGGGACCCATATTTTTCAGTTACACTGAAGAGCCGAAACACTATGACCACCTATTCAATTAACACGTTGAGCAATGTTTGGCTTGCAAAACAGCTGCAACTCACCTTGACATGGATGTCACAAGTTTTTAGTAGATGTTTGGAGACAGGTTGTACCAAATGTCTAAGCAGTGGTCACTAAGTCAAAATATTCCGACATGGTGGTGTTTGAGCGGTGAGCTCCCACTCCATACATCACAAATGTGTGTTCTATCAGGTTAAGATCCCGTAAATTATGTGACCAGGACATTAATTGGATTTAATCCTTACTTACGCTCCTCGAACCAAAGAATATTCAAGCCTTGTGACATGGGGTGTTGTCCTGCTGGAAGATTCCATTTCCATTTAGGAAGCAGATGCCATGTAAGAGCAGTTATCTGCAGTTATATTCAAATAGTCCACAGCTTTCATGGTCTGTTCTACCACAATTAAAGGTCCCAGAGTTGCCTATGAGAACATTCCCCAAAGTATAATACCACCCCAACAGAATGTGTATGACCTGCTGTACTGGGGGGGGCAGCAACTGTTCGCATGGAAGATGGCATACCCTTACACGACCACTTGCACCTGGATCTGCATTGTATTGGGCTGTCACCTGAGCCATTGTCTGCCAATGATTTTGCTGTACCAAGAGGGACAGTCTCTGATGTCTCTCTCTCTCTCTCTTTTTTTTTTTTTATGATGCATGGATGTTCAGCACCTTCACATCTACTGCTCATTTCAGCTTCATATATCCACTTTGCATAAATACTAACAATGGCAAATCGTGAACAACCAATCAGTCATGCAGTTTTGGAGATACTCATTCTGATTCTTTGGACCATTACAATCTGCACTCTATCAAATTCACTTTGATCAGCAGCCTTCCCAACACTTGGAAAAGTAAGTGCATGAATGATTCCTTACCTTCTCCAGCAGCAGTTAAATACCATTTTCACTTAATTACATTATATATATACTCCATGTCATCCAGACGAGTTCATTGAAAAATGTGGGTTTGGTCTGTGTTTTGCCTTTTTAGCGTATATATGTTTAAGCAAATGTAGACACCATGCAAAAAATTAGGTATCTTTAGCATTAAGTCTAAGTTATATATGTTATACGTTTCATGAGCTAAATCCTGGTATAAATGTAGATCCCTCTATTTTTCATATTTAATAAATTATTCTTTTTTGTCATAAACTTTTTAAATGTTACAATTTTTTTACCTTTATTATGCTTTGAATTTTACATACCATTATGAAATTTCATGTGTTTTTTATGACTTTATTTTCAAAATATGCAGCTGGACACACAAAGACTGATGCTGAAATTGAAGAAATGTTAGAGAGTGGAAATCCAACAATCTTTACTGAAGGGGTAAGTTACACTAATAAATTTTGAGGATTTAATTAAAATTAGGTTATAAGGTATTTCGTTTGCCTTCTTAGCATGCCTTCGTGGTGTAGTGGTCAGCACGCTCGATGTGTATTTGAGACATTTGTGGTTCGAGTCCCAGCGAGGGTATTGCTAATTTTTCACATCTCCTGCTTTGAAATAACCTAGTGTCTCTACAGTGGTGCCTGAACTAAAAAAAGGTGGTGGATGATGATTCTCCACCACCAAGATTTGTCAGTTGTGTCCTCTAATTCTCGGTCGCCCTTTAAAAAGGGGAGTATATAAGGTATTTCTCCCACCTTCTTAGCATGCCTTCATGGTGTAGCAGTCAGCATGCTTGACACGTATTCGTGTCCTGGTGAGGGCATTGTACTTATGTGGCAACCTGCAGTGTCTTCAAAAAATACTTATACAGTAAGACCTCGCTTAACGCTGTTTCGTTTAGCGCTGTTTCGGTTTAGCGCTCTTTTATTTCAACCCGGGGATTCTCCGAAATTGTGCGCAGCACTAGGTTTCCAAATAACATATCCAAAACAGTGTAGTTGTGTTTCTTGCTTGGTGGACGCATTTTTATTATTTGAAACATTTGTTGACATTATTGTAAGTTTAAATTTGTATAATACTATAACGATTAATACAGTGACAAATATTATGATCTTTAGTTTTTATCATGGGTGATAATAAAAAACAAGAAAAGAAAGCAACCAGAAAAAGCATTTCACTGGAAACTCAAATGCAAGTGATTAGAAGATTAGATTCTGGTGAGCGTCAATCTCAAATTAGTGCTGCATTGATTTTGGCAACTTCAACAATAAGGACAATTCTTAAGAATAAAGAAAAAATACTGTCATCGGCAACTGCAACTACGTCAAGCTCTGCAACTAGAATTACCCGTTCTAGAAATAACATTATAGAGGAAATGGAAAAACGACTGTCTATATGGATTGACGACGAAATTGAACGCAATATACCATTAAGCCAATCTATCATAATGCCTTCTTGACAAAAAGGCAGAAAATTGGAAACCCAGAATAGACTGAATGATCTGACTGAGAATTTTATTTGTTTTTAAAAGTATATGCGCTTATATTGTTTTTATTTTTGTAAGAAATAAATGTTTGATTTTATTTTTATTAAAAAAACAGTATTAAATTTAATGCCTAACCATTTTTTATCCATCTTCCCCTAACCCCATTATTTACATGTTAAGATAGCCTCGCTTAGCGCTGTTTCGCATTATGCTCTACTACGATGGAACGTATCCCCCGCGTTAAGCGGGGTCTTACTGTATGTTAATCCCGGTATGCACATAGCTCATGCATGATTGAAAGCTTTTGGATTTGTGTTTTTGATATTAATTGGCTATTTTTCTGGTTAGTATTTATTTTTATATTGAGTACATTTGTTTTTATTTTAATGAATTGCAATTGAACTGTGAAGTTTACCATCTTTATTTTTCATTACAATGCAGTATTATGTTGGACTATATTTTAAAATTCTAACTGTTTTTTGGCAGTTATGGCTAGTGCATAGTGCAGAGGTTCTGCAGTTCTGATTTTTTTATCATATTTAAATTATTAAATAAATTTAATATTATTTTTATTCATATTTTTAAACATATCACTATGTACATGAGAACAGCAGTGAAAAAATACTGCTGAAGGATTTCTATAAAAATAAGGTATGTGTTTTATTTTTTAATGAATGTAAAGAAGTAGACGGCATTGAGTGCATCATTGAAGTAGACATAAATATACCCAAACAAACATGTTTCTCCAATGTCACCAACAAGTTCATGACTTTTTGGTGGAGGTGATAACAGAAAGTTCCAGTCTTATATTAATGTGTGTTGATTTAAATTTTTGCCTGAATTAAAGAAAAGATTGTGTTATAAATTTCTGTTAAATTCCCTTTTTATTATAGTTACTTCAAAAATCTAAAGTATTTATTTTTGATATTATTTTTCTTTATATTTTTTATTTCTTACAAACATTAAATGAAGTTAAATGAATACATTTTGTATCTTTCATTTCAGATTGTGATTGAAACTCAGAAGGCTAAACAAACACTGGCTGATATTGAAGCCCGTCATGCAGATATTGTGAAGCTGGAAAAGAGTATCAGAGAACTACATGATATGTTTTTGGATATGGCTGTATTAGTCGAAAATCAGGTAATGAGTGTTTTAAACTATAAATTGATTAAAAGTATAATTTTTAATATTGGGATCGAATGGAGGAAGTTGCTGAACATTGACAGTTAAATCTTCATTTTATTCATAGTAGTGGAGTGGGTTGGATTCTTTGTGACCTTGAATTTCACCATTTCTGATGAAAATTGAGTCATTTTTGCTCTATGTCCACTTAGCACATCTTGAATTAAAGCATTATCAGCATATACCACAAGACCAAGCCTAAGTACTTCATCTAGTAAATCTACTTTGAGTCCATTCAGATGCATAATGCATCGCTTGCTTCAAGCCCATGTCAAGTGAGCCATCGCTGTGCAGTTGTTTGAGAAAGGTTAAACCATGACTTTCATTTGAAAAAAGTAATTGGTGTTATATGTTAAAATAATCACTATTGCAACTGTATGATGTTGCTAAGTTTTAAGAATTCCTATAAAGCACAGTTTTAAGAATTGAGTTTTTATTTTATTTTATTTTTTTATATATTTTTTTAATTTATAGTTTGATTATGGGTCTGATGGATCTACTAATAATGAAAGTGGTGCTATTAGTTTCTTACAATAGGTTGCTATGTGACCATCAATGTTCCAATTTTTCACAAAATGAAATTTCATTAAAGTCAACCAACAATCACATGCCAATGTTTGAAAGGCATGGATTCAGTAGGAATGCAAGTTGGCAAATAGTTTGCCATTTGTTATTGCCAATTATATATTTGTTATTTTGCCAATCAATTATATATTTGTTATTTTGCCAATCAATTATATATTTGTTATTTTGCCAATTATATATTTGCTATTGGCAAATAGATTGCCATGAGATTCATTTACTGCTGGTATAAGGAAACAACATCAATAAAATTCTTCATGGAAGAATTCAACATGGCTGATACTATTGTTATAAACTGAAGTGATTATTTGGGATAAATATGTATGTACAAGATGCAAAATCATGGAAATAAAAAAAATAGCGGGTTTTAGAGATTGATGAAAGCCTTATCCCAAAGAAGAAAAAAATAGTGGTGGCCATGTTCTACCACCTCAGTGAATTTCTGGTGGTATTTGCCAGAGAACTAAAGATTACTTTTCTTGTTACAATGCCCGATTGAAAAGCCATGACTTTATTAAATGCAATCAAAGAAAAATCAAAAAAGGAACGACCAATAAATTCAACTTCTGGGCCAGCTATAAAAATTTCAAAAAGCTGGTTTCAAGCTTTTCAAGCCTGAAGTGATTATTTGGGATTTGCATTTTTGGTTCTTTGAAAACCAAAAATGCAATTGGTTTTCAAAGTGAAAACCAAAAATGCAATTTCATGGATCCACATTCTGGAATTCATATTCAAAATATTTAGCTGACACGGGGCTCTTCAAAATGGCAGAACAAGAAACGTAGGGGTACAGTAAGACTCCATACGAAGTCATGCTTGTTTCATGTGGTGGCAGAAAGTTGTAGCTTAGGGGACAAAAAAAAAAAAAAACTTTTGAAGCTATTTTAGAAGCCACTGCCAAGTATTTTCCATCCAGTATAAAGAAAAAAATAATTATATCAAATTACTGTCAATCCTTATTTGTTAACATTTAAGTACCCAAAAGTATTCACTGTCTTATGCTCCTCCTTCCCCCCTCCCTCATTTTAGGGAGAACTGATTGATAGAATTGAATACCATGTCCAGAATGCTGCTGATTATGTTGATAAAGCTGCTACTGATGTCAATCGTGCGACACGATACCAAAGCAAAGCACGGAAAGTAAGTTATATTTTTTCGTGAAATTTATGCTGTGTTTCTTGGAGTGAAAAATATTGTAAATTAAGTATTATGTTTTTATTTATGTTTTGCATAGAAGGAAAATGCAGATGTGATAACTTTCAAATACAAAATCTTGTGAATGAATATATCTTTTAATGTAACTTTTATACATTTACAGCATATCAAAATCACTATCAGAAAATATAGATTTTATTTGATCCTAAATGATGAATAAAATATTAATTTACTATGGATCCACTAAGGCTAATATATTAAAAATTGTTATTTATAAATTACTGAATTTTTATATTCAGTCATTTTAGCAATTTTTTTAATTACATGTGATATGTGCCCCCCAAATAGCAAACGATTAATAATATAAAAAATTCAAGAAACATTTATCATCAAATATACACTTTCTACCCCCCCCCAAGAGTTTTCTATGGTCTATTTTAGCTCCAGAAAATTACACAACATAATGTAATGGCAGGCTGCCTGAAATGGAGGAGAGACTTGTCAACCACAAAAGTCAACTGATTATTTATGCTATCAGATTTATGTCTGTCTAGTAGTCTAATTTCTTTTCTTTCTTTTTTTCTCAGAAACAGCAGTTTTCTAAGTAACTGCTAAAAGCAGGTTAATATTCCTATCACAAACTGCATTTTGATATTCATGTTCAAATATGCAAAATAAACAGTATTATCTCTAATAATTTTCAGATTCTGAACTAGCATTTTGGTTAATGTTATACCGGCAAGGTAATATTTAAACTAATGAATCTAAATTTAGAAATTCTCTGCCAGTATAGAATTTCTGCCACTTCAGAAACAGTTCATTCACAATCAGTGTTGCTAAACAAATATGTTATTAGTTTCAAATAAAAGATGAAGGTCATTCTCTTTACTTAAAATAGCTCATGATGACAGAACTGATGTTGACAAGTGAGTTTATCCATTTTGTATTTTATCCAAGTAAAAATATCATTTTGTAACAATTACTCCTAGAACTATGTTGGTAAAAATTGACAAATAGGTAAAACTACCTTTGGAAATTTTTTCTCATGAAATAAATAAAAATTTATCTTTTTAAACTTTTTATAAGCTTTTTTTTTTTTTTTTTTTACTTCTGAATTTGGAGCAGAATTGATGTATAATGTTCACATTTGTACTTCAGTATCCTTTAATTGGAAAATTTTTTAAATTATCCAAAAGAATATTCATTAAGTATACATTCAATAAATTTTTCCAGCTTCCCTTTGTTAATGCAGAATATTAATGAATTTTTTTGGTACATTTTGTGTTAGTTTTCTCCCTTCCAGTTAGCAGACTCTTTTGGTGAATGACATATTTATTTGCAGAAATAAACATACAACTAAATTCACATAACATCATAATAATATACAGGGTGATTATAATTAAAGTTTAAGTTTCAAAATGCTATAAAAAAAGAACCACTCATGAAAATGACGTCAAAATTGAAGGAATGTTATTGAAGAAAGCGGAAATCGTATGGCAGAAGAAAAAATTTAGTTTCAAAAGTTAGCAACAGATGGCGCTGCAAGCGGAAGAAGACGTAAATTAAAATGCTAGTTAAATTTCAGTGTTATAAAGCCGCCAGGTACCAGGCTGTTCCTCAATTCGCGTCTCAGATGTTCGCCATGGGTGTTTCACTGCAGGACCGCGCTCTGCTGTATTACAAGCTGTATTACAAGAATGATGATTGTGCAAGAGTAGCTCTGCAAAATTTCAGGAAACTGAAGGGTATAAAAGAAGGCGTTGGTCCAATGAGTGTCGTAGGTCTAAAGAAAATGATGCAAAAATTCGAAACGACAGGTTCGTTTGATGTGCAATCTGGTAGAGGGAGAAAACGAGTGCATTCGACGGTAGTTGAAGAAGTGGCCACAGCATTACAGGAGGGGTCGGCCGGTGGTGTGCAACCGTGCAGTGCACGAGGAATTGCTCGAACATTTGACAGGCCTACGAGCACGGTGCTGAAAATTGTACGAAACATCCTGCAATGCTATCCGTACAAAATTGGCCATGTGCAGGAGTTGCTTCCGTCTGACCTGACAGCTAGGGAGACGTTTACGTTAGAATTCCTGGCTCGCATGGAAGTGGATAATTAATGGCCGTGGAAAATTTTGTGGACAGATGGAGTCCATTTCCATCTGACAGGATACGTGAATACCTAGAATTGTCGAATATGGGCAACAGAAAATCCACTGGCAACGCACCCCGTACCACTTCACGGTATGGTGTGGCTTTACGGCATCATTCATCCTACAACCATATTTTTTCGAGCAGACGGGTGCTTCCGGTCCTGTTACCGAAACCGTCACTGGTCAGAGGTATGCGTCTCTTTTGCGCAACCACGTGATTCCAGCTCTGCAACAGCGTGGATGTGTGGATGAAATCATTTTTATGCAAGATGGCGCTCCTCCGCACATTGCACATCTCGTGAAGCAGCTGCTGAGGCGCCATTTCGGAAATGCTCGAATTATCAGCCGTCATTTCCCTACAGCCTGGCCGTCCCGATCGCCTGATCTTACTCCGTGTGATTTCTGGCTGTGGGGATATCTGAAGGATGTTGTGTTCCGTGCTCCAATTGCAAATTTAGCAGAATTAAAGGCACGCATTCCGCAACACATTCTGAACATCACCCCGGAGACACTGCGATCCGTTATGGAACATGCTGTTTGTCGCTTTCAACTTGTTGCACACAACGGTGGACACCATATTGAACATGTTTTGCGCCAGTCTCGCGACAGTTCCGAACTTCTTTGATGAATGGTTCTTATGCGGTATGTCGCCACAAAACTCTTGAAACCGATTTGTCCCTTTCGATGTGATATGTACAGTCATGCAAATAAAATTATTCAACAATTCTAATTTATCAATGCGTTTTAATGTGTAACTTCCACCTTAGCCGTTGTTTTACGAATCATTTCTCGTTTCTCGTCGTGATTCTGTCGCTTACAGCGCCATCTGTTGCTAACTTTTGAAACTAACTTTTTTCTTCTGCCATATGCTTTCCGCCTTCTTCAATAACATTCCTTTCAAATTTCACATCATTTTCATCAGTGGTTCTTTTTTTATAGCGTTTTGAAACTTAAACTTTAATTATAATCACCCTGTATATTAAATATTTGCAATATGGGCTTTTCACAGCAGCTCATAAATTTAATATTTTGGCAAGAAACAAAATAAAAATATTTTAAATTAGAGCTTTTGTTATTTTTCTTAAATTTGGCAAGCAATTTTATTGAAATATTTTATTTATTGTTTATTTTGACTTTTTACAACTTCTGAAAGAACAAAATGATTAGTTATTTGAATTTATTAACCCTGAATACAAATAGAGGATCTTTTTTGTAAATCAAAATTTATACATACTATCTAGTAAGCATCATTATTTATCTGCAAATAATATTGCTCATAGTTGGTGATTCCAGTTTTTTCTTTTCTATTGCAGATGATTTTTCACATATTGTATTAGAATCCTTAGCAATAAAATATTTCATACAATAATATGTTTATTCAGTAAGAAAATGTAAAAAAAAGGGGGGGGGAGTTTCGGACAATTTTAGCATATTAAATCTGTATAGTATCAATGATATTTCAAAAAGTACATATAATTTTGAAATTAAAAATTTATTTGTACATGCTTTCACATCAGTTGTGTTTTATTTCTGTTTCAAATAAGTTTATTTTTTATATTTTCATTAGAAAGTTCTTTTTGTTTTTTCAACTGTATCATCAGATATGTTATTGCATGAATTTATTGTTATGTTTTTCAGTTTTGTTATCTTTATTTATTATTTTAATTTTTATTTTATTAGAAAATTATCATCATAATCATCATTTTGATTGTTGTGCTGGCTATACTTGGACTGATTATAGGATTAACTGTGGGATGAAGAAGGAAAACAAAAGTTTAAATTATAAGTTTGATACTGTGAAACACTGTTGGTGTTCAGTATTAAACTTATCTTGAGATGAACTGCAGAATATGAGCATTTAGAAAATAACTACGTTATGATGTAAAATTAAATATATCCTTTCCTTGGAAGAAAAACTTACAGAATAATTATTTTAGTTCATTGTGTCAGTAATCGTTTGGTGTACAAAAATAACTTCACTGCAATAAATCTAGCATGTAAATGCACCAAATGTGTTTTACTAATATTACACATGTATTTAAATGTATACTTTCAGTTTTTAAAACTAATTTTTCTAAAAAAATTGAATTCTTTTTTTTAAATATGAAGCATTTTATTTTTTATCAGTTTTCTGGTGCCATTTACAGTTTTTGTTTTTGTCCAGTAAAATTTCTATTATTCAAGTTTGAACTTCAATCAAAACATATAGTGCCATTCAAAAGTCCCCAAATTCTCATTGTAAATATATCTTTAACAATGTAAAAAATTGGTAAGTATTGCTGTGTGGGATATAGCAAGACAAAAAACAAATATGTTGAGTGGGACATCTGAAGGAAGGACTGTTAATTGCTCCATAAGTCTCATGTATGAGCTGAAGTTTGTTGCGTGAGAATGCTAAAAGCTGAAAGATCTGTAGATTATCATCTTTAAACAGTCATGCATGATATCTGAACTAATGCTTTGAAAAAAAGTGGCGAGAAGCATATGGCTTCATGTCGATTAGTGTGTAAAGAACATTTCATTTCTATCATCTTCTGAAGAAGAACTTTTTGTTCATTCTTTATTCTAATTGAGAAATCTTATGAGTTACACCTGAAATAAAATAAATAGATGTGTGACCTTTTTTGATTAGAGTTTGGGAATTTTTAATCGCACTGTATTACATTATTTTTTATACATTTCTTTTAGACAGGATTTTATTAATCATTTTAAAGATACATAATGCATTTTTGATGTTTTACTTAATTCATTTTCATAATTTATTTGTGTATTAATGCATAAATTAAGCATTTTGGGATAAGTTTCATAGTTATAAGTTATGAATATTTATTCAAATATGAATATAAATTAATATGATAGGTTCCTCATAATCCAGAAAAATGGCTTACTTTAATTTAGAAGAAGCATGTTAATACATAATAGTTAAAGTCAGCAAAATTTAATTTCATGTAATATGAACTTCAAAAGCTCATACTGAAGAGCTAGTCAAGAGCTTAAATAATAAATGAATAGTAAAAAAGTAAATTCCAAATTTAAAATACAAAATGTGATTTTGGTTTGGTATTAACTTCAAATAAGTAATACTGACATAATAATAGTTCAATTAAGACTACAATTTTTTTATTTAATATTTTTTTCCGGTAGCCTAGTAAAATTATCTTATACTTCTGTGTATAAGCCCAGAATTTTTGGAACTTTTTCTGAATCTAAATTACAGTGATCAGGTTACATGCAGATTTGCTTATCTTGTAAAAAATGTAGGTGCTTTTCCATTAACTGGTACAAGCGATAAATTGCCAGATATATCACTTTTTAATTCCTTTAGTTTAAGAAAAAAATTAATTTTAAATGAAAAAGAGTTTTTTTGTTTTATGAAAATGAATTGTGTTAGTCTCAAAACTGTTTATGTTGCTGATTTTTTTTATCCACTTATTTTTTATTTACGTGAAATGTCAAGCAGTTGTACTGTTAGAATTTTCACAAATGTGATAACATAGTTCCAAATTTGTCATATAAAAATTTCTGTTTTTGCTCATATTTCATATTATAAAAATAAAATGGCACAGAATAAGACTAGTGCAGGTACCATTGACCATATACAAGACAACAGATGAATAGAAAATATGTTGTAAGTTCAGATAGATTACTAGAGTTAAAACTATTGTTGTTCTCATCTGGCATTTTAGTTTGCAGTGATTTGATTGGAAAAAAGTCCACCCACTTAACCCAATTGCCCTCATGGCAACATGCTGGATCATTGCAGGAATATTTTTTTCTTTCTATATTGGCTTATATACAGGTTTTCAATTTTGGGTAAATTTTTGAATTAAAAATACTTTCTCAACTTATACACGGATCGGCTTAAACTTGGACATATATGGTAATAGCAAAAATTACTGTATCTGAAAGTATTGCCTAATTTTTTTTTATTACATTAAATTCCAAAGTCTTTAAATTTGTTCTCATCTTTTATATTAAAAGTCATATCTTTAAATGAATTTGAAGCCTTAGGTAAAGAAACTCTTTTTAATAATATAGTGTTTTGTGTGATGAATGTAACAGAATTAATTTACTTCTCGTATTTTCCATTGTAATTTATGAATTACAAATATAATATTTTATGAACCTTTAAAACTTTTATTTATAATATATTTCTGAAATAATATTAAATATCATTACATAATAAAGCAATTGATGCTGGTTGATGTACATTGCACAAAAAATGTGGTTGGGGGACAGTTCTATAGCTCGCGTTCTACTGGGCCAATTGCTGAAATTCAACTTGTGTTTTTCATGTCTCAAAAGCGCTACTTAGGATATGCATTATATATATATATATCATTATTGTAATATAGGTATTTTGAAACAAAATCAGACTTTTTTTCTGAAATGACATGCGAATTTTTTTCTATATTTTGATTCTACGACTCAAATTATGCCAAACTGCCAAGTTTTGAAAAAATAGCATGAGTAGTTTTTAAAATATTAACTCTCAAAATTTTAGATCCTCAATGTTAATTGAACTTGATATATATTTATTAACATCTCTTTTTTTTTTTATTAAGCTTATTTGATTCTTCCTTTCACATTTGGAAATTTAAAAAATTTTTACCTTCATCTTAAAGTAGATGTATTTCTAAGCATACCTACAAAAATTGGAGTTTTTTTATTCAAAATTACGTAAGATATATGTGAATTTACACACTGGAGCATTTTGAAATTTGGTTTATGCATTTTCTTAAAATTATTTGAAAGTATGAACAATTCCTTTTTTTTTCCCCACTCATGTTCAGTGAAAAAAAGAAAAGGAAAATAGATTGCCATAAATTAAGAAGTTCGCTAAATGAATTATTCATGGCGCAAACTGAAAAAAAATGTGACTAGGTAAATTTTTTAATTTCTCACAAAAAATTATAAAATTTAATATCTGGGCATAATTTGAGTCATAGAATCGAAATCTGGAAAAAAATTGGCATGTCACTTCGGAAAAAGTCCAATTTTGTGTCAAAATACCTATATTAGAACAATGCTATGTATAAATCTAATATATATCCTAAGCCACGCTTTTGAGACATGAAAAATGTAATTTGAATTTCGTCAATCGACCCAGCAGAATAGAAGATATAGAACTGTTCCTCTTTTATTATTATTATTGCACAGTATATATATGTAGGTAAATTTAGAGTTCTCAGATTTAGAATTAAAAACATTATTTTGGGTGATTTTTATGTTAGTTTTTATTTCAGAATAATCATAGTTTATTTGCTTATTTCAGAATAATCGTAGTTTATTTGCTTATTTCAGTGTATTAAACTATACATATTTAAAACTATTCTTAATTCATTATGGTATATTGGAACATATTAAAGGCTAAAAATATTTGCTATGTGATAGATTTCTCATATCTACTAAAAATATGCTATTTTATTAGAAATACAAGTAATTGTTTCCAAAGGTATATTCCAGGTTTTTATGGTTTCATGCATGAATTTAAACTTTGTTTTCAGAAATGCAAATCTGTAGATTCAGAAAGTATACAGCTCTACATTTTTTATATGACAGAATTTAATGTAACCATTTCATAAGAAGTCTTAATGTGAAGATCACTCCCCTCCCTTCTTCCCAATGTTTTTGCTATGGCTTCAGTATAGACAGTTTTCAAGAAAAGACCTTTAGTTAGTTTAATTAGTTTGAATTTATAGTTCAAAATATTTATGTATGATAATAGGTCTATTAGTCAATTTTTCTGTTTTGCTTTTAAGTTTGAATGTAAAGTAATGAACAAGAAATGGATTGATGGCAAGAAAACTGTAGCATGGAACATTGCTTTCAAAAGTAATATATTAAAGTTAGTGTACATTACAACAACAAATCTACTGACGTACTGCAGTGGATAAAATGATATCCTGGAGATTAATTTGCACAGTGCTAAAATTAATTTTGAAATAAAAAATATAATTTTAGTGTGTTCTCATGATTTATTTTTTCATTTAAAAGATAAATTCTTGTAATGCATAATATCACCCAAAAGTATATCTGTTTTCAAGCATTTTGTTACTAATAAGATCTGTTTATGGGGTTGAATTTATAATTGCCTCTTTTTTTTTTTAACTTTTTTTTGTCTCTAGTCATAATATTTATCAAAATCTGCTAATGCTATGATAAGATTAATGAAATCTACTCTTTGTTGCATTTATTGTGTAGAATAGCTTAGTAATGTTTATATATATAAGAGTTATTTCTAAAAGTAATTCATTAAAAAAATTTCATGTTAAATTTCAAGTTTTTTTACTTTATGTTAAATTTTATATGTGTTTAAAAAGCTATGACTTTTTATTGGATGTGCCAATTTATTTGCAAGCATTATCTTTACTTGCATTAGTAGCTGATGAATTGTTTCCTTAAATGATGTATATGTTTACGTAACTCTTTAGTACATAATTTTATGCATTTAAAATATTTAAGCATTATTTTTAATAAAATATGGACATTTTTAAGTGATTATTATTCTAGTCAATTAGTCTTAATTTTGGCCATGTTTTGTGATATCAGTGAGATTTAAATATACATTGAAATTTTGTTTCTTTAAAATATCAAATTACTGAATTTTTTGTTGATTTGATCATTTGTTTTGCTTAGTAGCAACTGTTAGCTGAAAAAATGTGAATCTCTGTTAAGATATTTTTGTAGTTAATTTAATGTCTTTAAATTGTTTGTATTCTCTAACTGCAAAAATTCATATCCAGATTAAAAGTCTTTAATTTTCATGTGATATTGTTAAAAAGTTTTAGCTATTATAAATTATATTTCTTTTTATTTTTATGCTAAAATGCAGTTTTGCATATATTTGATTGAGTAAACTTTCCCAGAAACAATGTATTAAAATTTAGTACAGTAAGATTAACTTGTTTAGTTTATTTTATATGTCAATGAACTGGAATTTTTAAAATCAGACTTATTTCCAGCAGATATTTTTCACATTCCAGTATTTTTCATTATTGTTTTTATATCTTAAGTCAGTGTTTCCCAACCTTTCTTTTGCCATGCCCTACCTAAGCCTTTCTAAATTCTGATGTCCCCTATATAAAATATGGATAACTTTTAATATTCCAAAATTAACCCCTTAACAAACACCCCCCCCCCTCCTTTGTGGAGCATAGAACCTTTACTGAGAAACACTGATTTAAGTTGTCAGGCTCTGATATAGTTATTGTTACTTTATTTGTTGATGTTCTCATTTTTTATTTTTGCTTATGCTTTTATTTAATTTAAGCTTCATAATACTTCAGCTTTCATATTTTGTATTTCTACTACCAAAGATATATTTCGAGAATGCATTTTTATAAGTACTTAATGTAAATACATTTTGAGAAATAACATTCATGAAATCTTTTGTAAGAATTTTGAGCATTTTATTATCTGAAGATTTTGAACATCTTGGGGCAGGGTAATATAATATAAAGCCTCGGCACTTTTCTGAATATGTTATTGCATACCATATTAATTTTTTAATTGACGTCTTTTTTAATTATTTTTGAAGTACAGATTTGAGAAGCATTTAAAATGTGATATAGTATTTTGATAAATTACCGATTAAGAGAACATAATGCGTTTCAATATGTATTGTGATCAATATTTTATATCTAAACTAATTTCATTTTAAAATTTTATCACTTTGTACAAGAATGCATGTATTAATTCCCTCCCCTTTTGCATTCATTTGTTTTAAAAAGCAATTAAATGTGTAAATTTACTTTTTGTAAATCTTATTTTTTTCAAAAATAAAACTTTTTTTCTTTTGGTTTTCCTTTTTTGTGTATTTAGTTGTCAAAGCATGTTTATATTCATAAGATTGCCATTTTGAAACTGACATTTTTATTTTGTATTTATCAGTAAATAAAATACTACATTAGATCCTTTAAGTTTTGTTTTGCCCTTCAGTGGCCAAGTGGATAAAATCACTAATACTGGGAGTTCGATTTGAATTCAAATTTCATCAGGCAAGCTGGTTTCATGGGCAGTTTTGGGGTTTTTATCATGTGTAACATGAATTTGAGCCTTTTCCTTAGAGAGTTCTCCATAAGAGCTTCCTTTCCTAGGCAGAGAGCCTTAAGTTCTTTTCCACTATCCAGTTCAGTTCAAAATGTTAGTAAGTCCTTTACAAAGGCAACCCACATTTCAAGTAGATAAGCATTTGTGTTCTTTGCTATTTTCATTTTAAATAAACTTTTAAAATTGCAAATTTATGAAGTATTCCTTGCTAAGAATAGCATACAAGTGTCCAAAATCCTTTTACAATTTTTAATGATTATTATTATTATGCAACTAACTGAAAAAAAATACAGAACTGTTTTAATTTTTATGTATATTTTTTAATGTGATAATAGATACTACTTTATTATTAAATTATTGAACTCAAGAGCAATTAATTTGTTTTCTAAAGGATTGAAAAGCATTTCAGATTCTTTTGTTTATCATAAACTAATTTCAAATAAAATTATTTTTGTGTAATCTTTTAATAGATTATGCAGTGTGTTTCAAAAAGAATATATGTATTTCGAATGCATATATTTATTAAACTGTATGACATACGAATATGAAACTTTACACATGTATGTACGAACCTCTCAAGTTCAGATTACAGATGTTCAATATGTCTTCCACCAGTGACATGAACAATATCACATCGATATACAAATTCCTCCCATACTTGGGCAAGCATGTCCATTGTAACTGATGTTATGGCAGTACGGATCCTGTTCTTCACCTCTTGCAGGTTCTGTGGGAGTTGTGGTACGTAAAAATTGTCTTTAATGAAACTCCACAGAAAGAAGTCACAGGGTGTCAAATCTGGTGACTGTGGAGGCCAGCTGAGACATGCTAAGTCGCCAGCTCGTTAAGGACCAATCCAACGGTTTGGTAGAGTTTCATTCAGATAATGGCACTAGGCGACACCAGTGAGGGGGTGCTCCGTCTTGTTGAAAAATGAAGTTCTCTTCATGCAGCCTAGGAAACAACCAGTTTTGTAACATAGTGAGATATTGCTGACTGTTAACCGGGTTTCCATCAAAGAAGAATGAGTCATAAACAGATGATCAGGATATTGCACAAAACACATTAATTTTGGGTGAATCTTGTACATGTTCAATGGCTGCACGTGGGTTCTGTAGGCCCTAAATTTAAACATTGTGTTTATTTACATGACCACTAACTTGAAAAGTGGCTTCATCACTGAACACGATGGGTTGTGTGAAAGTGTTATCATTGTCAATAGCATCAATAATCTCGTTACAAAATGCCACACGTTTGCGTCTGTCATCAGGACACAGAGTCTGTAACAAAT